AGAAAAAACTCACTATATAAATATTACTTTTTATGTTTTGTATGAGAATGTTACCGTGGTTATACCTGCATATGGCTTTTATTAATGTTTTTTTATATAAGATTTATTTATCTAAAATTTTTCAAATATTTTTCAAAAGAAAGAATAGTGTAATTTTATTGCTTGTCAAAAGAGATAGTCTTAAGAAAAATTAATATAAAATTAAGTAAAATAATAGGTGTATATGTTCACGGATTTATATGTAGTCATAAAGACAAGAGATGGATTATTGATCTTTTAGAGATAAGTGATCCAATAACCTAAAGAATGATCCATGATCCTTTTAGAGATAAGTGGTCTGAAAACCTAGAGAAGGATAATTTATCCTTTTTTAAAATAAGTGGTTATGGGTGATAATGTTTGAAACTGTCAAACATTTAGTGGTGAGTGTTCTTGGAGAGGAGAGGAAAAAAAAGAAAGAGGAAGAAAAGAAAAAAACAGAAAGAAGAAAAATAGAGTAGTGTCAACCAACACACAAGCATCAGCTAGCCTCGTCTTCGGTTGCACCACCCTCTTGAACAGACGGATACAAAGGAGAACAAGGGAGTAAACACGAATAGGACATAACACTGGAACACAAAAAACATGAAAAATACACAAAAAGCAAAAAAAAAAAAAACAGAGAGAAGAAAGAAGAGAGAAAGAACAAAAACAGAGGAGAAAAAAGAGCGGAACAGTGCAGAAGTACTAAAGAAAAGAAACAGAGAGAAGGAGAGAACCACGCACAAAGAGAAGAGGTAAGAGACAGACACAAGGAGAAGATAGAACAAAAAGGAAGCCAGACGCAGGGAGTGGCATCATAGATTTTTCCCAGAATCCCAGCGACAAGCTCAGGAAAGACTTCACCTAGTAACGGTTATGAACCACGTAAGCTTCTCACTCCTTGTCCTTCCATTTATAATTGTAAAAACATTATGCATGTGAAATTTAATTACATTATAGCTATAACAAGAGTGCATGAATTATTCATGCACGCTTGCTATTAAAAACTAGTCGGGTCACTAGCTTGGGCTAATGACCCGGCTAGGCCTGCTAGGTCATAAGATATACTATGTCAAAGAATTATTTCAACCCAAAAATTTAAGTTGTTAGGTGAGGTTATAGGATATAATTTATATTATTCTCTAACATACTCCCTCAAGTGAAAACCCTTTATGCTTGAAAGTTGCACAAGCTCACATTACCTTGTACTTAATTTTTATCAGATAAATGAGAATAGTGAGATTCAAACTCGTGACCACGTGGTCATCAAGACCCTAATACCATAAGAATATTTAAAACTGGCACACATTTGATAGTGAGTGTTCTTGTATTTATATATATTTGGTTGTGTAACGTATTATATGAGCATAATTGTGAGTAAGAGAAAATGAAGGAATTAACTATGATTGTGGCTGTGATAATTGATAGACAGAATGTATATATAGAAAGTCCTTAATTAAGGTTGATAATCTTCAACAATGGGGAACTGGAGAATTTAATAGAGATAGATATCTTATCATAAAGAAACATTACTTTATTAAAAGATTCAAAGGATGGAGATAAAATTCTAGAAATAGCTAGAGATACCTAATCTCAAGTAGATCATGGAATGTGAAGACATGTTTCTCTTATTGTTCTGGTTGTCTCTCTTTCTGATAAATTATTAGAGATATCCTCTAGCGATTAATTTTTTTTATATTATTTTTTAGGGTGTATCGTTTCTTAGTGTCGTGCCAAGTGCCAACATGGTAAAATAGACAAAACTTGTTAGGTTTTTTGTATTTGAACCACTTTTTATGGGATATAGGCATTGCATAAAGTTTTTTTCCTTGATGGCGCTAAAAATCTCAATGTGTGTAGTGATGAATGGTGTGGTCATAAGCTTGAAGAATGTTAGGCGATCAAGGTGCAATTAATGTTTCTTTTCGATGCTCTAGTGGAAGAATAATGTGTTGTGGAGATTATGTTCTCTTTAAAAAAAAGGGTTAACCCTACCTAGTCACGTTGGCTTCCTCTGCTTAACTATGGTTCTTCATTACTTGTTTCATGTTAATACGAGTTATGTCATGGATAGTGTATAAGTGTTCCCATAAAAAATAGTTATATGCTCCACTAATTAAGGTCTTAGTGGCAATATTTTAAAGTAGATTCTTCATGTTAAGTGTTTTCTCATCAAGTCCTCGGAGCAATGCTTTAATGATTTTGTCTTATTTGGTAATGGTGAAGAGCTTAGTCATGCTCTTTTTAATTAAAATATTAGTTCTAAAACATGAGATAAACTTTATGCAGAGATCCTGAAGACCAAGGATGAAACCAAGTTCAAGGTTATGATATCACACCTTAGGAGATCCTCAAAAAGGTACTGGAAAATTTTTCCATATAACATTACTTTTTTGTGTCATAAACTCAATAATGCTTCTAACATTTTGCATATGCTTTCTAGGATTTGTAAGCTCATCGTAGTTATCCAAATTAGCATTCGTGGTGACACAATCCTTGAAGAGTTAAGTGTATAATACTTTTTTTACAAAGAGATCTCTATCTAATAGAAATAATATTTATTCTTGAGAGGTCATGCAGTATCTAATCTTGTCTCGTATTTGGATCTTTTTAATTGTGAAGTATACTCTAGATCTTTTTACAAAGCATTGTTGAGCACTTGCACTTGTTGGAAGATTGTTAGAGAGCTAAAAGAGCTAGAGTTCTCATAGCAAAGAGATTAGTTACTTTCTCCTATCCTGAAGTTTCATCAACCAAGAAAAATACTTTTAATTAAAGATGAAAGGGAATGAACTAGCTTTGTTTAACTTCCCATAAACGACACAGTTGATGAAGTCATAAAAAAGCTTTATATAGTAATTGGATTTTTTATAGTTATGTACTAGGTTGGTGTGAATAAACTTGACCGCAAGTGTACAAGCTTTCCTGCAAAACAAGTCTCATGTTGGAACAGATACTCTTTGATATTTAAGTCAACAAGTATAAAAGAAATGTAATATGTAAGAAAAAAAATACAAAAGAAATGCATATACAAAGAGAAAAATTTAATGGTATATAATTACATGACTGACTTTTATGGCCTAAGCCTTTATGGCTAATTTTTATGGTCTAGGTCTTTATTTTTACCTTATAAATGGGTGTGTTTATACACTTAAGTCTTGGAATTTCTTCATAAAGAGGGGAAAGTGTATTATTGATGGAGAAATTAGTGTGTTATCATTAGCTAGTCATAGTAATATGTTATGGTTGTTTTAACATGTTTGTTATTAGTTAAAATATTATTAATATGCAGTGTTATTGGCATACAAAATGATGATTATTCTAAATAGAAAGACTTGTGTGTATATAAAAAATTGCATGCATAAAAAGTTTGTGTGTGCAGCTTTTTTGGAACCCAAGAAAAATCCATAAAAATATGTGTTTTGACAAAATTTAAACAAACAGAATCATTAAAATCCTAGTTATCTAAATGGAAGGCTAGTCTCATTTCAGACTAGCATAACAAATTGAGTTTTATTTTTCAGAAAGATGTTTGCCCCATGTAGTAGAAGGAAGCACCTTTTAAATTTTAAATTTTATTTTTAACTTCAATTTATTATAGAATTTCTTAAATCATAAAAAAAAACAGCTAGTTCGTTCTCCGTATTGTAGAAATTATATGGATCTTAAGGCAACTTTTAATTATTGTCTTAGGACAGAATAAACAACCGTATTTAAGACAAAGAAGAAAATAAAAAATAAAAAACAGAGAAAATTAATGTTCTATAATGATATATAAATCAAAGTAAAATCTATGCATCATGTTTGGTTAATTATTAACAAGACAAAATAAAATATGAATTTTATTTTTAACATGTAAAATTTTATTTTATCTTTAACATGTAAAACTTATATATTTTTAAAAAATTACTTTAGTTTATATTGAGCATTAAAATTAACAATAGTCTAATTATCTTAATTATAAAACATAGATTAATTTAGCAAGTCAACTCAGATCTAAACGGATCTAAGTTTAAAAAATAAAGGATAATTAACTTAACCAAATCAAGCCAAAAACCCAAGTCCATCCACGATCCCTGTGATATAACTGAAGTTAAAAAAATAATTAATTTTTTATTAAAAACTTTTTGATCAGAGCAATGTCATTTTGATCATTTAAAAAAAATAAAAGTTAGAAGTTGATCCTTATAAAATGAACACTAAATGACAAAATATATTACTATAATAATAATTACTTTTATATTTATATAACTTAATTTATATATCTTAATTGAATAATTTTGAAATTAGAATGTTTTATAAAGATATTTAAACAATAAAAAAAAATAATAGTATTATGAGAAAACATATTAAGTAGAAATTTAATCCAAAAATAATAAATACATTTATTTTTATATCTCTGAAGAGATTTATCTTTACTTGTCTAATTCTCTACATCAAACATACTTCAGGCAAACATGTTTGTTTTTTCACTTGTTATCTCCATTTCTCCAAACGCTACCTAAACAGTTTGCGTTATCTTTGCCAAACAGTGTCCCGATTATAATTACTTAGCTCCTCCATGCTAACGAGATCGATAGAAAAGCCCAAAGATTAATTCGATAACTTATTCCATCCAATTAATCAGTAAGATGCAACTTATATTTCAAGTTTGAGGCCACAATTTGGTTGAAGAACCAGCCAGCCAAGCATTTATTAGGTTAATCACTGTGCTTACTCGATATCCCTCCTTGTTTTGCCTTCGTTGATAATTGACTGGCAAGTTCATAATTGATTGGCAAGTTCAGCTTTGTCTGGCTTCAATCCCATTGATCTGCTCCCATGTTAGTACACTTTCTACTTTCTTTTCCTCCACAAGGTACGAGAGTGAAGTAGAGACGGCGGCGAGATGAAAATATACATCCTTAAGTTATCTCAAACAAACAAATACTGTTTCAGTATACAAAGGGAAAAGAAAAACAGGGAAACAGGGAAACAGATATTCCTAACATGCATATTATTGCAATTCCCCACTCATTTCCACATTTGTAAGAGCAAAAATTACAATGCCTTATGATTATTATTATTCCTTTGGAAAGCTCTTTAATGGTTTGCTTATGTTCACCAATGACCCCAACATGAACTTCCACCATTTACGCTTCAAATGATGCCTGTAATCCGATATCAACATCCGAACATTCCTTGGCTACTCTACAAGCAGATATTTTGCCAGCTATTTTCCGGAGTGACTGCCTGCCCAGTTGGTTGAGATATTCAGTAATGCTGAAGGGAATAATATGTTAATTATTGTTGTGGGAAAAGCTCGAGGAACTTTTACCTTGTGATGATACACAAGAATATCCTACTGGCTACTGATTAATTTTTATTAAAATTTTAACGAAGACCAGATTTAAGAGATGACTCCCAAAGCACCACATACCAGTTTCGTCTTCACTTGCATCTACTAACTACCGAGTAACCCTACATTAGACTCCAAAAAATGCCTGCTCATAACAAAATAATCTAGTGACATATGGTCCTTGTTGAAACAGCCAAATGCAGCAAACGAGAGTAGCATTCTATATTTTCTTCATGAAGAAAACAAGTAAAATAACCGAAAACTATACTTTGTCTACAGAAGTCATGAGAAAGCATTCAAACCTTGAAAGGGCTATCATGACGAAGTAAACCCACGCTAAACCCCTGCTGCTGCTTTAACATCATGACCTGCCTTCCCCTGATGGTGTACACGGCCAATTAACAACAATTAAATACAAAAACAAGATATTACAAATCACATAAATCAAAGTTAAACTGAAGAGTAGATCATCAGAGGCATAAAATAATCAGATACTAGTGAATACAGGCTCAGCTCTTCATGAAAGAACTCGATTACTGGTTTATGCCAGAGATGTTACAAACATAACTGGTTTATACCAGTTTAAAGTGAAACTGGTTTTACAGAAAGTGTGCAGCTACAAAAATTTGACCAAGAACTGTAAAATGTGTTCTGGACACAGCATTGTTAATTTATTAGGCTGTTTCAAATATTGTTACCAAGATTGAAAGCATATTACTGATATAAAAGGTGTTTGCTTTCAACAAACCTCAGCTGCAGGATGCTCTCGAATCTTTCTACTAGGAGTCCTCATTGTAACAAATTCCTCAGCTGCTGTTGGGTGAATACCCACTGTGGAATCAAAGTCTGCCTTGGTCAAGCCAGCTTTGATTGCAACTGCAAATCCCTGCAAGTTCAAGGATTCGAGAACCATAGGAGTTATGGAACTTGTAAATCAACTTCACTAAAAACAGAACCACTAGTTAGAGCCAAGAAAAACACCTGCACGATTTCAGGTGAATCTTCTCCACACATGTTCAACCCAAGAACTTTGTTTGTCTTAGCACAGACTATTAGTTTCATGAAGACCCGATCTGGAAGCCCTGAGAGAGTAGCCTTCAAAGGCCTGAAATTAGCTGTGAAGACATCAATATCACCATACTCTTTTTTAGCCTGCAAGAATTCTTTCAAGAAATCAATCTTAGCTATTACAAGTGAAGTAGGAAAAATTATTAAGAAAGGAAGTACCATGTATTTCAGCCATTTGCACTTCAATTACAGAAATCCACAGTTTTGCACTCAAGATCAATCACAAAAATACCACTAGCAGCAGCAAGAGGTTTAATATCATTAGTTGGGTGAAGAGGTGGCAAGCCTGTTAAACATCTAAACCATTGTTTCATTGAACCTCTTTGTGCCACCCAGACCCAAAACTAATGGAACAAAGGCTCTTGATAAATGCTAACAAACTAACCACTTGAAACTTGAGTGCAAAAACCATAGCACCTGTCATTGAGGTGCAAATAGCTGAAACCACAAGACTCCTTTTTACACTTCTACCCAATAAAACAACCATCACCTGTTCTTCCGTAAGACCAACTTGTCCAATTGGAGGCTGAGAAAACACAGCAGATGGAACAGCTCTATTTAAAAAAAAAAAAAAAAAAAAAAAAAAAGAGGAAGTCATGAGCTTGTCCTCGTAGCTATAAAGTATCTAAGTAACTTCACTATATCCTAAACCTGCCTGGGCAAGGAGGGAGTCAGCCACATTTTTCCACCTGTGACATACACAGAATGTGCATGCGTAGATTTCTCAAGTATAAAGCAACTGTTGCCATGTTAATAGCTTGGAAGGTTTAACTTTTAGTCCACTCAAAATGTTACCACAAGTACCAGTGAAAATAAACTTATAAAGATGATCATTTCTCAAATAATATTGTATTCAGAATTGCAAAACCATCAATTGGTGAATGCATACATTTTTCAAGCATAAGCAATTGTTTCCATGTTAATAACTTGGAAGTTTAACATTTAATCCAGCCAAAAACTTATCACAAGCACCAGTGAGTATAAGCTTATAGAACTGATCATTTATCAAATCAGATTGTACCCAAAAGTAGAAAACCAACAATTGCACTACTGGTGGTACCTATAATCAGGTTTTGTTGGCTCATTCTGAAAGAGAGTTTTTGCCAATGCCCCACCTTCCATCAAAGCAACAGGAGTCAAATTTATCCTATCTGTAACATCTCCCACTGCCCAAATGGAAGGAACTGAGGTGCACGAGTATTCATCAACCTGGAGAAAATGAGAAATTATTGAAGGAAAAATGAAACAAAATCGAGCAAAAAAAGGTCTGAAGCATTCAGTGTACCACCTCAATTGCTCCATTGTTGGTCATTTTTACCCCCACACTCTCCAGTCCCAAGTTCTGCAATCACAACAAGTGGGCATTACATCTATCCATCCCTTCAATGTCAAACACAGAAATAAAGTTGTTTGAGGATGAATCATCAAGTGCCTTTACTCAAAGGAGAGTTATATTTTTCATGATCAAAGACACCCTAAGAATTCTTCACAGATGGAGTGGTTTGAAGTTTGAAGTTTGATTTTTTCTGTCAGAGTGGATGTATAGTTGGAGTCGCATCAATGCCAATTTTTAACTAGTAGCCTTGAGACAACTAAAATTGGCTAGAGGGAAGCAACCACAGAAATGAAATTTCAAACCTTTGTATTAGGCCGACGTCCAGTGGCAAACATGACATGTGAGAAGCCTTCAACTGTTCCTTTGTTGGTCTTCAGTGACAATGAACCATCAGCTGACTTAAAAATAGCCTGAGGTGACTCCTCTGTATGGAACTCAATTCCTCTTAGAGACATCTGTTCTGCAACAAAATCTCTGATCTACAGGAACATACAAAGACTGATTAATTGTGAGGCAAATGCAAGCATGTATCCAGTAAGCAACTAGAATTACTAACAATTCATCACCTCTTCATCAAATCCCCTTAATACTTTTTTCTGTCTTATAAATACATGAACATCGCTCTTCAAGCCATTGAAAATTCCAGCAAATTCTAACGCAATATACCCTCCACCAACTATGGCGATTTTCTCTGGCTTAGATGGCAAATCAAGTGCAGCGTCAGAATCAATCGCGTATTCACTCCCAGGAATGTCAGGAATGAACGGGCGTCCTCCAACAGAAATAAGTATGTGCCGTGCAGAATAGAGCTTTCCATCAACATCAACTGTGTGTGGATCGACAATCTACAAACATTAACTCAACAATTGAAAAAAACATTAATAGCCTGTTTGGAACCAATTCTACACTAAAATTGATTTCAACTATTTGAGTAGATTGAATTTATTTGATTTGCTAATTGAATTCTTTGGTTTGGAATAAGCTTTAAAATTGTGAAATTCATTGGACTTGAATTAGTGAAAATACATCATTTACCCAACTTGCCCTCGTCCCTAAGAAACCTATTCAAGCATATGTGAAGGGGGTATTTGTGGAATTAATTTAAATGGGTCAATTATGAAGCAAATCCACAAAAATCTGTAATTTTAATTGGTTGTAGAATTCGTTTATGTTGCTTAGAGCTTTCCAACACTAGAATTGGATAAAAGGTGTCGAAATGATTTCATTTCTACTCAAATCTTATTTCCAAACAGCATGAAAAGCACAACTACACAAACTTGTACGGATTCAAAGCATTAGTTTACCTTCCCGCGGCCTTCAATTAAAGTGACACCAGCGTTATTGAGAATGTTTCTATAAATACTGGTCAGGCGCTGCAACTCAGCATTTTTGTTAGCCATCAAAGTATTCCAATCATGAAGTGGTTCGTTGTCATACTTCCATCCAAAACCCCGACTCTCATCAAATTCATGAGCATATTTCGACGCATAAACAAGCAGTTTCTTCGGTACACATCCACGAAGCACACACCTACATTATATATATATCAAAAATTAAAAAATATAACATAATTCGACTGAATTGTTATTTTCTTCTGTTCAATTAAAGCTGGCAAATCAAGTTCTCAACCACGTGTCCCTACTTACGTGCCGCCTACGCCTCCGGTTGTCTCCGAAGAGATAGTTGAGAACGGAAGCTCACACACGGCAACAGAAGCGCCGAAATTGGCTGCGAAGCGAGAAGCGCGGACGCCTCCACTGCCAGCACCGATAGTGAAGAGGTCGAAGTCATAGTGGCGGGAAGGTTCAGCGCCGTTCTCGGCCTCCGCACGAGTAGTGAGATGGCGGCGGTGGTGGTGAGAGAGAGGGCGGCGGGAGGAGAGGGAAGTGGTGGTGGTCGTTAGGGTTTTGGGGAGAGGGAGGAAGGAGGAGGAGGGGGAGAGAGGAAAGGAAAGGGGGAGTTTTCTGTAGAGGGATTGGAGAGATGGGGAGGTGAGTTTTGGTGTTGTTAGAGAAGAGGCTGCCGCTGCTGCCATTTGGATGTTAGCGTTTTCCTTGCTGCTTTTTTATTTTATTTTTTTTCCGGGTTATGTGGTGTTGAGGTGGAGAAGCAGAAAAGGTCTAATACATATATACCTTCATGAGGTGAGGAGCAGTCAACATTTTTGCTTTTGTTTCTGCGATTATTCTATAACAAGAATATATATAAAAACAACAACAGTAAAATTATTTTTTCAATAATAAATTTTATTATTATAATTTTTTTACAGTATAGTTGTAATTGCTTATCAAATATTTTTTTATTAAAATATATATTATTAATATTTTTTATTTTTAAAAAATTATTTTTGATATTAATACATTAAAATAATTTAATAACATTAAAAACATATTAATTTAAAATAAAAAAATAAAAACATTTAAAATATTTTTAAAATATAAAAACAAACATCACAACAAAAACAAATATACACTAAGTTTTATCTCTTAAGAATTTGTTAAAATACTTGTAAAGAGAAATTTAATTAATAAAGCAACATGAGAGAAAATTGTTTAATTTTTTTAATTTACCAATCTAAGTTTAAAAGAAGAACTATTAATTACCAAGCACTAATTTTATAAATATCTCTTCCAATTTATATGCACCGTAAAATAATAACACAATATAATATAATATTTAAAGTACAATCAAGATGTGTGCTTTGATCAAGAAACACTATAATATTTTGCAAGGCATGCATCCTTATCTACATGTATATATAAAACCGGGTCGGGTCTGGTATATTAACATGTGATCCGGTTATCCGGGTTTATGGTTAAAATTTAGGTTTTCAATTCAAGTGATTTATCGGGTCAACTTAAAATTTAGATAACCTGAAATAATCAAGATGAATTTATTTTGAATTTTATACCAAAAAAATATAAAAACAACCTTTTATTTATTATTTTAATGATAGAAGGAAGAGGATGAATGATGGCAGTTTTTTATTTAGTTTTTTAATGATATTTATTATTTATAAAATTATTTAAATAGAAGGTAAATACTCGAATACAATTAAGTTTATTTCGCCTTGTTTTACATATTATTATTGTTGGGAGGCCTTTAGAAATTTATATGCATATAAAATAACTAATAATAAACTTTAACTATAATGTACCGTTATCATTTATTGAATAGTTTGATGAATTCAAATAATATGTTGATATATTTACCCATCTAAACATGGATATTCAATATAATTATTTATTTATTAAATTTATTTAAACAATAAAATAAAACTTCTCAATGTTTATGCAATTTAAATTCTCAATTATTCTCAATTTTTGAAGATAGTAATATAAATTAAATCATTATTTATTATGTCAATCGATAAATTTAAATGCCTAATAGAAATTTGTTCAAAATATACTTGTATATTTATTTAATATAATTAAATATTTATATAAGAATTTTAGCCATCATCTCATAAAATACAATGAAAACTCTTGATACATGTTCAAATTAAATTTTTAATTACTTCTAATTTTTTTAAAAAACCTAATATTGTTGTTGAAATATGTTGTATTATATTAGACTAATAACCAAGGGCATTTAATTTATCATAACAAGAACATACAAAATATAAAGGATTATTCAAGGTAAGCCTATAGGACATATAATTTTAAATCTATAAATATCCAAAATAAAATTCAAGATAAATATGATTTCAACCTTGAATATAATAAGAAGAGTACTAGAATATATACTAAGCATGTATTCAAACTTACAATGTATATAAAATCAAAGTAACTAGCATATATACTACTAGTAAAAATAGCAATGTTCAAATTAAAAAAAAAACAAAACAAAAACATACTTATTGAAGCACTTTAAAGAAAAGAAACTTTTATTGTTGTTGTCAATAATGAATTATTTATTTTTCATACTTTATCGCTATTTACTTGTATAATTAATATATTTGCAATATATCTCTTAGTATTTCAACATAATCACCTTAGTTTATATCCACTTCTAAACAAAATCTTTGAATTAAAATAAAAAAATCAAATATCTCTCAACAAAGTATTAACCTAAGTTCTAGATTTAGGAGCAAAAATTAAAGCATTAAAGAGAATGAAAATATTAAACAGGAGACGAGAAATAGTGACAAAGTTTTAAAAAAAAAGAAGTTATAAATTCTTTTTTCATCTTATTTTTATAGCAAATTTAGAAAACTAAAAGGTTGAAGAATTAATTCTCATTATTATCAATTTTTTATTAGCCATCATAAAAAAAAAATTAAATCTAAAAAAATAAAGAATTATTTAAGTAGGAAAACCAAGAGTTCTTTGAGATTAATTTCTCAATCACTTGTAATTTATTTAAATCATATTAACTAAACAAATTTTTAAACAACTTAAAGAGACTTTGATTTCATTCATTAGTTAATATTGATCGAGATGAATTAGAGAATATATGAAACAAAATTCAACTATTATATTATCCTAGATTTTTAAGTAATTTAAGGGGGTTTGATAATTATTAATCTAACATAAAGATAATTTCCTTACTTTTTTCTAGTTTTACTTCTTAAAAAAAATCAAAATGTCATTAAATGAAATTTTGCAATACAAACTTTCAATTCATTTAAACAAAAATAAAAAAAAATATATTATAAAAAATTATAAGTAAATTTAAAAGATGTAAGGAATTTACTATGCAAAATGCATTATGAATTCCTTCACAAGACATTATGAACGAACTTTTCACAAAGTTTTTTTCTCTCTCTCTTTCTTTTTAGCCCTTATTGGATTGAATTATGAACCAATTTGTTGTAAAATGGTGGGATTGAAAGTTGAGGGATGAAAATGAAAAACAAAAAAGGAGTGGGTGGCTTTGACAAAGTTTGGGTGAAATATTTATTGTAGTCCCTAAACTTTCTAAATTATAAATATTAGGTCCCTTTAATTTTCAAAATTTAAAGGCAAAATAAATGTTGTTCCAAACTTTGTTTTTCTTATTTTTTGGTCATTGATTTGAAAGATGTGAGAGAAAATCACTAGAATTTGGCATTAAGAGAGAAGATTTTTGTTAGCACTGATTTCACCCATAAAACAGTCGATATTGATATCAAATTATTTTATTTAATAAGAGGAGTTCATATTAGATTTTGTTTTAGCTTTAAAATTTTTAGAAAAACATATATGTTAGCGGTCGACATTTGTTTAAAATTATTCTATTTGATGATAAGAGTTTATATTAGATGTTTTTTTAGCTTGAAATTGCCTAGAAAAACATATATGTTAGTAAGATTTTTGGTTTTGGGTTAATTTCAGGTTTTGAAATTGCTTTTTGAATTTTTTAAGGTTATAAATAAGTTTATCAAGTTTTCTATAATATTTTTTTCTAGATGTTTTGGACAAAATAAATTTTAGATTGAAAATACTTCTACACTTATGTCATTTTTGTGCCAAATTAGAAGGATATAAAGTGTTATAAAGTTATTAAGTTTAGAATGTAAACTATATGTTTTTAAAATATAGAGGCAAAGTGAAAAATCAACCACCTACGAAAGGTTAGATGTAATATTTTCAAATTGAAAACAAAATTACTAAAAATAACATTAAAAATATATAATAGTATTTAAGAATCATGTTTAGATTAAATAGTAAGTGAATCTAATAAAACATTTTGGCGTGTCAAAACAAAAAATTAAAGGAAAAAAAAATAGCAAACACCTAGGCACAACACTTAGTTTATATAACAACATGACACGAGTATTACCATATTATTGTGGAAAACTTTTTGAAATTTATATTTTACTTAATCATGCAATAATAAAAAATAGCATTCATATAAACAATAATAAACAATAATGAAGAAAATTATGAAGAATATATATATATATATATATATTATATATATAATCAAAATTGAGTTTTTCCAATTTATGTAGTTTTTATTTTGATAATAAAATATTTTTCCTTTTAGCAACATATTTTATTGAATAAAAGTAATAACAATAAAAAACATATATTCATGAAAACTATAATTGTTTGAACTAATATATATATATATATATAAACAATAAATAAAATAGATATTTTATTACCACTCAATATTGACGAGCAAATTGTTTTTACAATTTTATATATTAGAATAATACATAATTATTCATGAAGTAATTGATGATATTATCATTAAAAAATCCTTAATCTTTTAAAAATAATGGCAGGATTGATTGCTTTTTTAAAAAAACAATGATATAATTGAAAAATCACTTAAATATTATTTTAAATAATAAATTGATATAAAAATATATTTTTAGTAAAATCATTAAAAAATAAATAAATAATATAGGAATCTCCAAAAATATCATCTTTAAGCTATAAAACAATCGAGGCGTATGGACATATAAAGCCATATCCACATGTTTTTTTCTAAGAGCAAATGACATATTATCTACCTTTATATATATATATATATATATATTAAATAATGCATCATTTGTCTAGGAAGACGACATATTGTCTCTTAGATCACTTTTAAACCACTTTCAATGACTAAAAAGTCAACCCAATTAATACGAGAGATTTTGCTTTAATATATAGTTTTATATTATTAAGTATAATATTCATTCCAATCATTGGATTAAACTATAATTTTTTTAAGTAATTTTAGAGGTCTTGTTTTATATAAAATTAAAATTTCACTATAACCAGATGTTATAAAAGTCTTCTAATAATTCCCAGAAGTTAATACTGGATATTGCTATATTTTTTCTAGTTGCTTTAAGATTTTTTTATATTTAGTTTAATTTTTTTATTTTCTCAAATTTATTTAGGACTTTTTCCTAGATTTTTTAAGAATTTATTACTTTTTCTTTATTTGTGCATTTCATTCTTGATTTTTGAAAGTTTTAAAATTTATTTAAGGGGTTGTAAACCTCTTAAAGAAAAAGACTACTTGAAGAGAAAATATATAATAATAAAGTTTAGAATTAGAGTTTTTGTATGATCTCTATTTAATATAATTACGTGTTCTTCTACTTAGTGTCTTTTCTTTATTGTCTATGTTTTGATATTAGAATATATTGATCTTAAGTTATTACTTGTGTGATGCATTTCCAGGTTCATTTGTTTATTGTATACTATTAAATAAGCATGGTTGGAATAAGTAATAGGGCATAAAATGTTTAGTTTATAGAGGATAAAAAAATTCCTCCTTGGAAGAGAAATATTCAAGAGATGGTGATAAAAAATATGTAAAAACAAATTACAAAATTAACTCAACAACACAATAAACATTTGAGGCAATTAGAAGAATTATATTGTCAATTAACAGAGATGAAGAAGAGAATATTAGAGAATCATAAGAGGAGTGATCATCAATCAATGACCAGTTTTGAGAACATATTTCAAAAAAGTTTCTTGATCGAGATAAGTCTTCGTTGAGATTTTAATGGTTTGTTTGTATTGAGATAATTGTTGATTGATATTACCCCTACCAATTTATGTTTTTTTTTTAAATTTTGATGATGATATTGTTGATGATTACATAAAAATAATCACAGTAGTAATAATAGTGATGATATCATTAATGGTGTTTTTATTGATAAGTTAAAAGTTAAATGCAAAAAATAAAAATAAAAAGAAATATGCTTAATTAAAAAAAATTATTGATTTAAATCATGTCGATTCTTATGATTACAAGTTTAATGTTATCACAAAATAGATATATTTGAGATTTATATAGATACAACATATATTCATGAAGTAGGTTTAAGGTTTGGAACTTATTACTTTAAAAGTTATTGAAAAAGAAATAATCTTTTGATTGTTGTTTCTTGTATAAATGTTAAGATAAAAAGACTTAAGTTGATGTTTGAAATTATTATATACCTGAAAAGAAGAAAAAAAAAGGATATAAGAGTTTTGACTAGACATCCATGAGATTAAAACAACAACTAGTTGAATCCAAAAAAAAGTTCTTTTCAACATGATGAGACTAATGCATAAGATTTTTTTTCTAATATATAATTTTATATCATAAATTTTGATCCAATGGGGTTTAACTATAAATTTTTAAAGAGATTTTAGAGGATTTATTTCATATAGAGTTAAAATTTTACAATAATTATGTATCATAAAGGTTTTAGAAATTACTATTCAAGATTTGCTATATTTTCCTAGTTGATTTAAAATTATTTTTGCTATTTAGTTTGAAATTATTTTATTATTTTTTTAAATTTATTTAGAACCTTTTTTTCCTAGTTTGTTTAAAAATTTAATACTTTTCTTATAATTTTAGGTTTTCTTATTAATTATATAAGTTTAATTTCGCGGCGGAGGGAGGCAATTTGCAGTCTAAACTGGCTATTGCCTATACTTATTACCGGCAGCACGTGAGTTGTTTTAATATTTTTTTATTTGATGTACTGTTTAATTGTTGTTTTGATAATTTTTTGATGTTATTTTTTTGGTTTCCAGATGTATGAAAAGGCAGTTAAATTATATGCGGAATTAGCAGAAGTATAATTTTAGGTTTTCTTATTAATTATATAAGTTTTTAAGTTTATTTAAAGGGTTATAACCTTTTTAGATAAGTAGGCTATTTAGAAAAATAAATTTAATAATAAAATTTTAAAATAATTTTTTCATTTTTCTTCGTTAGAGTTATATATTTTTGTATTTGCTATTTTTCCTATGCTACTTCCATTTATGTTATCATTGAAATACTAAAAATATAATTTTCAACTTTTTGTTTTGAGGAAAATACCATTTTAACTTCAACTTCTGTTTTTTTATCCCAACAAATTATAAGGCTTAAAAATATTTTGAGAATAATTTTTTTTATAAGTATTTAGCACCAAGGACCAATAAAAGAGACATTGATTTCCCTCTTTATTTATTTTATTTTCTATGTAATGTAATTATTTTAAAAAAATAAAATACATATAATAAAATATTATTTATTATGTACATTAGTAAATGATTAAAAACATATTAGGTAAATTCTTTAATTACGTGGCTACAAATTTTTTTTTATCTTTTCACAACTCAATCAAATACTCCATGATTATGATAATTACAATAATAAAAAAAACATCTTCAGAAATCAAGTTAAATTTCAATAGATAAAAAAAACCCTGTTTCCCTTTGGAGGAAATGCTAATGGGGCACGAAAGCG